CTCCCAAAGGCGTGGGATTACAGGCTGAGCCACCGAGCCCGGCTAAAAAAAAATTTTTAATTAGCCAAACGTGGTAGTATGTGCATGTAGTCCCAGCTACTTGGGAGGCTGAGGTGGAGAAATCACCTGAGCCCAAGAGGTTGAGGCTGCAGTGAGCCATGATCATGCCACTGTACTTCAATCTGAGTTACAGAGTAAGATCCTCACTCAAAAAAATAAAAAGAAAAGAAAAAAGGAAAAAGAAGCCGGTCTGTCAATTTCCGTCCAACTGCATTGAGTCGGAGGAATGAAATTTTCAAGCAGAATATGTGTCTGTGTTGAATTCTATTCCAGATATAGATCTTAACATTTTATAACCTGTAGATAAGATGTAAATCAGATTGTGAAATCTCATCATGGACCCTCCACATCCTTCCCACTCTTTACTTGAAAAGATAAATATAATGGCTAGTATTCGATGATTGGGAAGTAACTTCAGGATGATTGAGGCTGGGGAAAGGGACAGACAAGACTCAGACCCCTTCTTTGTACTCCAGCTCCAGGGGAGGCGTACTTAAAGCATGTCTTGACTCCCTGGAATAAAGACAGTGGGCAGAGAGGAAGCAGATCATTAAAACCTTTATTTTTTCACACTCAGCTGGCTCATCGGAGATGATCAATGTGAATTGGGAAAGGAGTCAAGATGTGAAGAGGAAGAAGTGGGAGGAATCAGAAGGAACAGCTCAGAAAAGGAAAAAATAAATTGAAATAAAGCAACTTTGGAGGCGAGACAGAATTCGTGGATAGCCGGCCCCGGTCAGAGGGGTCAGGAGCCAGGGACTTCAGCTCAGACCCTGTCTGAGGGGAAAGGGATGTGCAGATGGTTCTGGGCTGAGGTGGTGGGGCTGCCAGTTCCACAGGAAGGACAGAGGGCTTGGAGGGTGGGAAAGCTCTGGACACTGTGAGCCAAAGGGACTTTCAGCTTTGCCAAGATCTAGCCTGAGAGCATAACCAGAACAGGGAACAGGCTATCAGGATGAAACACACACAAGGCAGAGCATCTGAGTCACCTTTCACCCCCACACAGGCCTGTGCTCAGCAAGCCCTCACTCTATAAATAATTGAGAGAGGGAGATGAGAGCATGTCAGAAAGAAGGAAGGGAGGGAGGAGGAGGGGGAGAGGAAGGGAAGAAGGGAGGAAGCGAGGAAGGAAGGGAGGGAGGGAGGAAGGGAGGGAGGAAGGAAGGAAGGAAGGAAGGCAGGAAGGAAGGAAGACACATTCCTATATAAACCCAATTCCTGAAAAAGAGAAACAAACAAAAGCTTGCACATTCTAGCTGAGGCACAGCTAGCTCAGTTAAAAGGAAGGAATAGGCGGGGCTTAGTCACTCAGCCTGTAATCCCAGCACTTTGGGAGGATAAGGGGAGAGGATTGTCTGAGCCTGTGTGTTCAAGACCTGCCCGGGCAACTTGGCGAGACCTCATCTCTACAATAAATCAAAAATTAGCTGGGTGTGGTAGCACATGCCTATAGTTTCAGCTACTTGGAAGGCTGAGGCAGAAGGATCGCCAGAGGCCAGCTGGTTGAGGCTGGGTGACCGTGATCGTGCCACTGCACTCCAGTCTGGGCGACAGGGTGAGACTCCAACTCAAAAATAAATGAATAAATAAAAGGAAGGAACAATCGTCACATTCATGCCTGTGCCACTTATGTGCAGGCCAGTGCCCCAGCCTTTAGGACAACCCTCAAAGAGGAGCAAAGATCGAGGCCAGCAGACATTCACAGTGCCAGTTTCTTCTGTGATGCCAGCAGTGCACCTTCCTTGATCCAATGTCACACGGGCATTCTGACTGCCAGCCAGCAGCCCTGTGGCTTCCCCCAGCCATGTGCCCCCTTCCCAGTGTTAATGGAGCAGTCGGTCTCAGGAGCCTGAAAATTAGATAACAGTTGGCTGGGAGATCCTCACTCCTAATAAGTGTGTGCTAACAGACCACATGCTAATTCAGCTGGGGAAATCAGACTTGGAATCCATATCCTTTCATGGTCACACAGTAGAACTGGGAGGAGTCCTCACTGGTATCACTTAAGGTTAGTAAGACCCACGAATATACATACACATGTCAGTGTCAATGTAGATGTTATTATGGGCTTGCTGGTGATTCCTCAAATTCATGTGTTGAAGCCCCAACACCAATACCTCAGAATGTGACTGTCTTTGCAAACAAGGCCAGTAAAGAGGTAATTGAGGTAAAATGAGATCATATGGGTGAACCCTAACCCAATTTGACTGGTGTCCTCATCAGAAGAGGAGATTAGGACTCTGAAGACCACCACATGAAGGCCCTGGAGAAGACAGCAGCCATCTACAAGCCAAGGAGAGAGGCCTCAGAGGAAATTAACTCTGCCGATACCCTGATCCTGAACTTCTGACCTCCGGAATTGTAAAGAAAAAAGAAATGTGCTGTGTAAGCCAGCCTATGTTGCTTTGTTATGGCAGCCATTATAAACCCATACAGATATAGATATAGTTTGTTTTACTTTAATTCTTATATTATTGGCCACAAGAAACTTTTGGAGCTCACTGAAGAAGATACTTCTAAAAGTTGTTATTAGCTCATGATATATGTTATCATTCCACTCTATAGTCCTAAGCTGATAATACAGGTGAGCTCCAAAAAGATCTTTGAATACACCTGATTTATTCCTTTCTACACAGTCCTAAAGCCTCTATCTGGTGACTCTTGATACAAGAAGTAGCGGTTTTCAAGCATTTTTAGTCCTTACTCTTGTTTTTAAAATCTTCTTATTCTGCCAATTTGCCCTTTTAAGGGATTTAAAAAGATATATATACTGGGCAGCCAGGAATCTGTACCCTCAGAGGTGTCACGAGGCGATGGAGAGAGCCCCACATCAGCAGAAAAAGGCCTGGGTCCAAACCCAGCCCTGTCACTTCA